TTTTGCCATGTTGGCCAGGCTGGTTTCGAGCTCCTGATCTCAAGTGATCTGCCTGCCTCGGCCTCCCAAAGTGCTGGGATTACAGGTGTGAGCCCCATGCCCAGCGGGGAACATCTTTCTTTCCCATTACTTGGTTCATGGCTGAGGCCCCCATAACAAAAGGCAGATTATCAAGAGAAAAGCATACAGATTTATTTAATATAATTCTTACATGACAGGAGAGCCTTCAGAAACGAAGACCCAAAGACACCAGTGCTTCTCTGAGAAACAGATAGGAGGCCATTGGTTTAGACTGAGCTTCTGCACTAGGCCCAACAAACCATACCAAAATGGGGTTACTCGTGGTAAAGTTCCATGCCACCTAGCTAAGTTGGTTATCTGATCTTTCAGGAAATCCAAAGACAGAGAGAAAAGAGCCGAATCCCCAGACAGGCCGGTGTTAACTGGCATAACAAGGAAGCCCTCTTCCCTTTCACTTTTACAAGAAAAGTAACTTTGAAATGACCACTTTACTATTTGTTCTATTTCTGCTTTCCTCAGCCCTTTTTTGTCTGTAAAGCCAATCTCCCCAGGTCATCTCTATTTTATAGAATGAGATGTTGCCTGATTCTGGGATTGCAAATAAAAGCCAATTAAGATCTTTACATTAAATTTGTTATAATTGTGTCTTTTGACGTAGGTGAACTTGTGTCTCTTTTTACACCAGGTTTGATGAAGAAGTGGGCAGTCGTGGAGAAGTATAATTGGACATGGGGTGTAATCCAATGGTAATAACCTGGCGGGGACTAAGCAAGGCCTGTTTGTTCAGATTCTTCTCTGTGTGCCTGTGTTTTCAGATATTAGAATGCTCCTGATCAGACGCAGTGGTTCATGCCTGCCTGTGGTCCCAGCACTTTGGGAGGTCGAGGCAGGCGGATCGTTGAGTCGGGAGTTTGAGACCAGCCTGGCCAACATGGTGAAACCCCACCTACTAAAAATACAAAATTTAGCTGGGCGTGGTAGTGGGCCCCTGTAATCCCCGCTGCTTTGGGAGGCTGAGGCAGGAGAATTGCTTGCACCTGGGAGGCAGAGGTTGCAGTGAGTCATTGCACTCCAGCTGGGTGACAGGGTGAGACTCCGTCTCAAAAAAAAAAAAAAATGTTCCTTTCCTCCCGAAATAGTGAGATCAGAGGACACATCCCAAACCAGTCTTTTGATCCACTTTGGAGGAGAATGTAGGGGAAGGTGAGAGTGGCCTTCCGCCTTCTACTGTTTTCTCAAATGCCCAGGTGCCACATTTTGGGGTCACATGTCCTGAGCCCCATCAAACTCAAGTAACAGATATACTCCCTAAACACAAACTAGTGAGCAGAGCTTAAATCTAAAAGACGTGATCAAAGTAGTTAGGGTCATCAAGTAAAATTTCCAGATAAATTGTTGGGGGCCAGTCATGGTGTGACACACTTGTGGTCCTGGCTACTTGAGAAGCTGAAGCGGGAGAATTGCCTGAGCCCAGGAAGCCAAGTCTGCAGTGAGCTGTGATTGCACCACTGCACTCCAGCCTGAGCGACAGAGCAAGATCCTGTCTCTGAAAAATGATAGATAGATAGATAGATAGATAGATAGATAGATAGATAGATAAACAGTAGGTAGGGAGATAGTAGGTAGATAGATGATAGATAGATAGATAGATAGATGATAGATAGATAAACAGTAGGTAGGTAGATAGTAGGTAGATTGATGATAGATAGATAGATAGATAGAGAGATAGATAGATAGATAATAGATAGATAAACAGTAGGTAGGTAGATAGTAGGTAGATTGATGATAGATAGATAGATAGATAGATAGATAATAGATAGATAAACAGTAGGTAGGTAGATAGTAGGTAGATAGTAGGTAGATTGATGATAGATAGATAGATGATAGATAGATAGATAGATAGATGATAGATAAAAGTTAATTGGGTTTCAAAATTTGATGAATGATAAAGAGGTTGAACTTAGAAATCTCAGGTCCAAATGCGGAACGACTGAATGGTGCCCAAAAGAGGTGTCCTACATAATGATTCAGGGAACGAGAGCTTAGCTTCTCTTTTAGCCAAACAGGTTCATTGGTGACAGTCAAACCAAATGGCTTCTATTGCCATACAGGGAAATGACGCACCCCAGGACAGGATCACAGAAAAGGCAGTGGCAAGGTCAGAGCCCAGTTTCCCAAACCAAACCAGAGGGCACAGAGAAGTTTCTAAGTCCCAGTGGATAAATTAGAATATGGCACTCATAGGTCCAGGCTGGGCAGGGAGGTGCAGGTTGGAATTCAGGCAGAGCTGAGACCAAGAAGCCAGCACCAAAGCCCAGGTAAAGCAGAAAGGCCCAGATCAGACCGCCTGAGGCTTGAAATGAGCACAGAAAACTGGTAATAACAAGAAGGCAAGTCCCCAAGGGAAAGCATGAAGCAGGGCCTTGAAGTGGATTGACCATGGCCTGCCCTCTGCCTTGTTTTAAGCAACCTTCCTGGTGTGGGCAAATGGTGGCTGGCAGTCAGGTGTTACTACCAGAACAAGGACAGGCCCGGAAGCTGTCAGCAATTGCAGCAAATCTCTGGGGAAGCTTCCTGATGCTAGCAAAGAACTGGAGAATTCAGAGGAGCATAGGAGTAAGGGATAACCTGCTTTTAGAATGATAGGGGTCCCGGACGGCAGACATACCTGTCTCTACCAGAGCCAAAGACTCCTTCTACCCTATGGATTAATGTCAAGGGAATCATGAATGAATTTTAAGATGCTTCTGAGCTACAAATGTTCCCCATTCCTTGGAATGGAATCAAAGTTATAGGGCAGGGTGCTCCTGAAATGTATGGAGCAATTCATAACTAAAGGAGATGGATTGGGAGGTGGAGAGAGAGATGACAGAGAGAAAGAAGTTTGGGGGAGGGAAGGAGATGCAATATTAGGTTAGTGGGAAAAGGTACAGTGACTTCATAAGTGCAAAAATCCTGAATTAAACGCCATTTCAATAGATCTCTATTAAGTATGGAAAGAAACGCACTATAGAACCAAGCAGATGGTACCCAGAAACTCAAAAACAATGACTATAGTGGCCACTCCAAAAGAGCCAGTTCCTAGCAATAGCTGGTAGCTGGCCAACATTCTCAGCTGGAAACTATGAACTCACTTTATTTGGGGACATCTAAGGCTTCAGGGCAGGATATGATGAGTCCAATCAGTGCCGCCAATCCACCCTACAAAGATTTCCAGAACATATCCCCTCCAGGCCATTCTCACCACCTGTGTTTGAATGCAAGCCTTCTCCAGTTCTCACCTGAATTCCTGAAACAGCCTTCCAACTGGTATAACTGGGCCAAACTCTCTCCGCCACCCCCATCTGCGGATGGAGGCCACGATGTGTTTCTTGGTTACGTTCCAGGAGCCACTCTGACCCATGGAAGTGAAAAATTGATCTACCAGGGATTCTCTTTGCGTGGCCTGAAAGCCCTTCTGTGGGTCCCATGTGTGTGGGTCCACTGTCCACACACTGAGCACCCACCCCAGAAGTGGAGAAGAAGGGAAGTATACAGTCTTTGAAGAGAAACTACCATGTGCAACCCTGCTTTGGTCTCTCAGCCAGCTGCCCTGGGGCCATATTTGGCCCTAACCTAGGGAACACTGAGTAGTGATCATTAAGCTTCTGTCTATCCTCCCCTGGTAAGCAAAAATTTGGTTCATTAAGTCATCTCTCCCTCAATTCATCCATTCACTCATTTAATAAATATTCATTTAATAAACATCAGTGAATACTAATACACGCCAGGCAATGCTCTAGGAGCTGGGGATACCATGCTGAACAGATACTGGGAAGACTGTGAATACCTTTATTCTTGATGGCTTACTGCCATGACCCACAACCTTTCTCAGCAGAGCAAATTCTTTCCGCAGAGGAATCATGGAAGCAGAAAGGAAGATTACATCATGAGTACATGAAACCACAGGTCTGCAGAATTCTCTCCAGGGGGAGTCTCACATGGAACTGGTTCTCAATATTGACTCTTGCCTTCAGCACCACAAACTTATCTCTGGTTTCCCCTGGTCTAAGTTCAGGGTCCCCTAGACAGGCTCAGGATAGGGGACACTCCACCTATTCTGGGCAGCTCTAGTCCCAATGCACTCACCTACAAGCTGTGGGACCTTAGACAGGCTGTATTACTCTGTTCTCACACTGCTGAAAAAGACACACCCAAGACTGGATAATTTATAAAGAAAAAGTGGCTTCATGGAACCACAGTTTCACGTGGCTGGGGAGACCTCACAATCATGGCAGAAAGCAAAATGTGTGTCTTACGTGGTGGCAGACAAGACAGAATAAGAGCCAAGAGAAAGGCGTTTCCCCTTATGAAACCATCAGATCTCATGAGACTTATTCACTACCAGGGGAAGAGTATGGGGGAAACCACCCCATTATGCAATTATCTCACATGGGGTCCTTCCGGCAACATGTGGGAATTATGGGAGTCACAATTCAAGATGAGACTTGGGTGGGTACACAGCCCAACCATATCACAGTTTGATTCACATTTCTGAGCCTCTGAAAAAAATGAAAATCGTAAGAATCATCACTAACACATAGATGGCTTACCCTGTGCAAAGCACTATTCTTCATGCTTCACATGTGTTACCTGGGCAAGGCTCAGGACAACCCCTTGAGGTGCATGTGCTTGTTATTGCCATTTTACAGGGGAGGAAACTGAGTCTCAGAGAGGTGAGGGGCAGAGTCAGGATAGGAACCCAGGCAGTCTTCCCCCAGAGCCCATGCTCTCAATAGCTCTTTTGTCTTGTTGGCTAGTCAGCTGCAGGCTCCACGCAAAGCACACATGGAAACCCAGCAACTCACCTCCTTCCTGTGTGCTGTCCTGCTAGATCACTGCTCACCACAGCCCCCAGAGCAGCTGGGATAAATTCTCCCGGTCTGGGCCACCCTTCAGGATTTAACACATACTCAGATGTACATCTGAGGAACATAAAACACTGAAAAACGAAGCCTTTATTTTACCTCCTCACAAAAGAGCTTGTTGCCTTGTTTATGGGACATGAAAAATCAAGATTGCCTTCTTGCCTGCCAAGCGTAGTCTACTATTTTGAGACAGGTCTTTGCGAGTAAGTAAAAATTATTGCTTTCATTATAGGTATTTCCCCTCCGGCTCTAAAACTCCATGATCCAAGGCACAGCACAGTAAGTGACTGCCCAACAGGACGGCTTCCTGCATTTCTTTGGGTGAAAAGTTCAGTCCCAGGATCTCTCAGTGTGGCGCCTGCCAGCCATCACCGTGAAGGATTGTCTTGCAAGCTAATCTCGGTGCGTTATGCCATTGCAGTGGGTAATGACACATAACGACGCCTAAATCATAAGAATCGGCTTCACCTACAAGAAAAGAACAGAAAGAGAAATATTCGCTTCCTTGGCCTGCTGGGATTCACCTATTTAGGATCATTCAAAACCACGAAAGCTCAGAAAAGCCAAAAAGTTGTGAGTTCTAGAATTCCCTTTCGACAATCCTCGAAATGGCAGTTGGTCTCATGAAAGGGAATGAACGTTACAACCAAAGAGACCTGGCCTCTAATCCAGGCTTTGCCCCTTACTGGGTGTGTGACCATGAACTTGTGACTTCTCTGAGCCCGTTCCTTCAGCTACAAAAGAGAGATAATAAAACCCACTTTGTTGGGTTGTCCTAAAGATGAAAGGAAATATGGTAAGCAAACAATAATAGTGTCTGAAATGTAGGAGACATTTGATAATATTTCTGATTTTATTTTAAAAGTACAGAACTTTTTGGGGGGTCATTTTGCTGGGTCCCTGTTTTATTATAATTTAACAGTGTTCATAAGGGATTTTTACAGAAGCCATGCAGGATTAGCACACCCAAAGTATAGAAAATTCTGCTCTCTATATCCCATGAGCCAGACTTTCCACACGTTTTTAGTAATTAGTCATAACCACAACTCCTGAGACACTGCTGGCCACTAATGTATCTTCTGAATCATCAAAAACAGATTGACTTATGTTTTAGGTGGCACTTTTTCAAATGTATTTTATAATGCTGTTTTTTGGATACACATTTGCCAAGGAAGAGATATTCTTTACTGTTCTCTGAAGACAGAGTGAAATATCTCCCATTTCCCCAGTTCTTATTAATTTCTAATTACATGCTTCCTGTACAGAGAATGAACATGACAAGGGTTACTGAAGTTGACTCAACCATTCATCTGCTGAAGCTTAAAAAATACACAAACCTTCAAAGAAAGGTGTTTAGTAATCAGGGTCCTAGTATCACCAGTGGAGGGGGTCCAGGTTCTCGGTATCTTGAACAAAGAATTGGACAAAACACACAAACAAAGCAAGGAAAGCATGAAGCAACAAAAGCAGAGATTTATTGAAAATGAAAGTACACTCTTCAGTGTGGGGGCAGCCCAAGCATAGGGGCTCAAGGGACCCTTTACAGAATTTTCTGGGGTTTAAATACCCTCTAAAAGTCTCCCATTGGTTACCTGGTGTACACTCTATGTAGATGAATGGCCTGCAATTAGTCTGATTGGTTGCAGAAAGCAACCAATCAGAGGCTAAAGTTACAAAGTTTACACCTATGCAAGCCTCTGACTGGTTGCTTTCCACAACCAATCAGAGGCTAAATCGAAGTTACAAAGTTACATTTCTAGACAAAGAAGACTTGGCCAGCAAACAGTCTGATTGGTTGCAGAAAGCAGCCAATCAGAGATACTTTCAATTTTCCATCTGCCATGCAGAAAAGGGGTTAGCAGGTGGGTGGTGAGTACCCTCGTGGTTTTTTTTGTTGTTGTTGTTACTTAGGTATGGAAAGCTGGGGTTTTCTTTTTGATTTAGTTCTAGGAAGTCAGTGTGAATCGTCCTTAGGTTCCCTGCCTCCAGACGCTATTCTCCTGCCTCACCAGCAGGAAATAGGTGGCACACACAGAGCAGGAGTTTTAACAAAGGAGTGGGCCCACCTCACTGTTCTCCCCACTTTGGATTGCCTCCTTTGCCTGGCATTGGCTGGACCCAACAAGAAGCCCTACAGCAAAGAGAGTCGCCCCTGATGTAGTCAACCTTCCAGTTCCAGCCTTCCAAGGCACAGAACACACCAAAAAAGAGAGAAGAGTGGATTCAGAGGGGCTACAGAAAGATATTCCTCATAGTATTCTTATCTCATTATCCGGTGGTACACCACTGCAATGGGGAAATGTTTGTCTTTTTAAATAGCTACAATGTAAGGGCTTAAAATCCTCTCTAAACAAAAAGTTTTTTTAAAAAATCGATCATGTGAATGTCACTTTCCATATCACTAGGAATAATTTCTAAAGCATTGTATTCATTCCACAAGTCTTTTTTTTCATCTTCTTGAGAAACCAACATTTCTGCTAGATTGCAACACAGGCGTACCTGAGTATACCTCAACATTCTCAAAAATCACACACTTAAATTACAGCCTTTCAGAGAAAAATATGATTAGGCAGACCACTCCAAACCTATGCAACTTTGTAACCAGAGTACTCACAAAAAACAGTAATTGGTTCCTGGGGAGACAACAGGAACCCAACATGCAGGCAGCTCAGCCTGGTTGGAGGCTGGCGCTGGGCCATTAAAAATGCACAGAAACGGTGGCTCATGCCTATAATAGCACTTTGGAAGGTTGGAGCAGGCGGATCCCTTGAGTCCAGGAGTTTGAGAACAGACTGGCCAACACGGTGAAACCCTGTCTATACTAAATACAAAAATTAGCCAGGCATGGTGGCAGGTGCCTGTAATCCCCGCTACTTGAGAAGCTGAGGCTGAGAACTGCTTGAACCTGGGAGGTAGAGGTCACAGTGAGCCAAGTTCATGCCACTGCACTCCAGCCTGGGCAATAAAGCAATATTCCTTCCCCCCTCAAAAAAAAAAAGCACAGAAACAACACACTAAACATGTCAGCCACACTTCAGTTAAAGCAGAGCTGGGGGTGTGGAGGAACATAAATAGAGGGGTGGCTCCTAGCCAGTGGGGCTACAGCAAAACTGGGCCCAGTGGCAGCCCCATCTAACCTAGCCGAGAGCTGTGTCTCTCAAGAGAGGGGCTCCAGAAACAGGCCCTCATCTTAATTTTCTCAAAATTCTGCCAAAAGCCCTTGCTGCTTGCGCAGCCCTTCCTGATAAAGTTTATAGTTCCACTCCCATGATCTCTTCCCGCTCCTCTTGTGTAAGAAAAATCACATATGAACCCAAATGACTTCCACATTCTTACACTGGCATCGTCTTCATCTGCTTCTCTGGAAAACAGCTCTGAGGCAAAACTTACAGGTTATTCGGGGTGGCTGTTTGCAGGAGTGATGGGGAAGAGGAATGAATCAGGAAGAGGAAAGGAATTTAAAGTTGTGTTACCAAGATGGCCACAGTTTTATGAAAACAGCCCTGGCTCCTTGGGTCATGTGGGCCATCTCCAGAAAGGTCACAGGGAATTACTGCATCTCAGGAAAGATGGCAGAAGGGAGGCTGGCAGTTCAGCTGCCAGCTTCTTCTTGTCTCCTGTCCCTCACTGCTAAGGTTTACCTCACAGTGCAAGAATTCTGCTAACACCCAGGTGGAATCCCACCCCAGATAGCCACCAGGGAAACTGGAGCCCCTGAGGGTCCAGCTGGACAGAACGCCATTGCTGTCACAGCCCCTAGAACCTGACCATGACCCTGCACCCAGGAGAAGATGAGAGGATGAGACAGCCAGCTCTACTGGGAGACCAGGTAGCTGTATGAGCTGTCTAGAGGCCTCCCTGGCCAAGAAGAGGGGGATGCAGGTGCTGAGAACATCTGGAAGGGCACAAAACTGGGTTCAGTACTGACATTATTCCCTTATTTACAAATTGCACTCAAGCAAAATTTTGCCCTAACATTTCACATTATAGCAAAACAGACTGCACTGTGTTAAATCAAGTTTAGCCTAAAGCTGTCTCCTTACATATTTTAAGCTCAACCTTAAATATTTTGAGTTCAGGACGTTGTGAACTATAGCTAGTGGACGTGTAAACAGACCATAGCCTACACTTATGCCAGTCACCAAGTTTTGGCCAATCAAACATACCCAACAGTTTGAACCATGTGCAAATAAGGCACCTGCCAACCTGTAACCAATCCAGCTGTTTTGTACCTCACTTCCATTTCCTGTACATCACTTTCCTTTTTCTGTTTATGAATCTTCCACCATGAAGCTGCGCTGGAGTCTCTGAGCCTAATCTGGCTTGGGAGGCTGCCCAATTCACAAATTGTTCATTGTTCAATTAAGTTCCTTTAAATGTATTTATTTATTTTGAGACAAAGTCTTGCTCTGTTGCCCAGGCTGGAGTGCAGTGCTGTGAGCTCGGCTCACTGCAACCTATGCCTCCCAGGCTCAAATGATTCTCCTGCTTCAGCCTACTGAGTAGCTGGAACTACAGGTGCATGCCACCACGCCCAGCTAATTTCTGTATTTTTTGTAGAGACAAGGTTTCACCATGTTGCCCAGGCTGGTCTTGAATCCCTGAGCTCAGCAATCCTCCTGTCTCGGCCTCCCAAAGTGCTGGGATTACAGGCATGAGCCACTGCGCCCAGCCCAACTCCCTTAAATTTAATTCGGCTTAAGTTTTTCTTTTGTCAACCATAAACAAACACATATACCTGCCCTCGAGAAGCCATGTTTTTGTTAAATATATACGATAGGTAGGTTTAGGTAGGTTAGGTACCCCAAAAGCATAAGACTTAACTCTCTCCCAAATTCCCATGACCCCCACTCACTAACCTACGTTTCAGCGGGTATCAGAATGATTCTAATGCCTGTCTCTTCTCACCACTCCTGGTTAGAAAGCCTTCAGTGCTTCTCCAGGTGTTCATGGTGGGTAAAATCTATGTTTCATCATTTAGCACACAGGTCACCTTTTCAGTGAGTGCCCTTTCCACGGGCATCTTTTCCAAATCAACACCTGGCCGCCCCTGATCGTCCACTCCCCACCTCTCTCTGCTCTGCCGGACTCTTGCCAGTGCCCACTTCTGCTGCTGCATGACAGAGTTAATGACTGGGGATGGATAAAGGAGAAAGGGACAAAAAAGAGATACTAGATTGGTGCAAAAGTAATTGTGTTTTTTGCAGTTTGAAAGGAATGGCAAAAACCGCAATTACTTTTGCACCAACCTACTAACATTCATGGTGAGATGATTACTATCTCAATGTGATAATCATTTAAGAATTAACTGTATAGATTTACCATTTGTTTTCATACGAAGTTCTATAGCTTGAGAGTTCCTGTGATTCACCAAGGATTGTCACATACTTGATTGTAGGCTTCAGAAAATTTTTATCAAATAATATGATATTTTCATGCCTGTCTGCATTGAGATACTCAAGTTTCCCAGGATGATGGGGTTAAAGATGCTTCGTTATTTCCTTGAGTTAAAAAACATATATATATCATAAGCCCATGAAATGCAAATGGCGATATTGTTTTTCTTTACATATGATTCCCTTTATTTTGGCATCTTTCTCAGACGCTTATTTTGTGTTAGTGGTGATGGTACTCATAAGGGCACTAGCGTTTCACACGTTACCTGTTGTGTATGGAATCTCATGCAGGGGACCCTCTATGTACACTTGAGTATACAGCCAATACATTAAAAGGATAAATACCCATCTAGGCTACTAGGTTCAGTTAATGAAGCTGATATTATCAGTTTTATCTCCAATGAACCAGTTGCCTGAACAGTGTCCTACACCAGCTTTTTACCTGTGTTCCTCTGAACACTAGTAATCCAGCACAACAGTAATACATTTTCACAGGAAAAAAAAATGGGGAGGAGTTTCCATGAGCAAATAAATTTGAGAAAGATGGAGTTATAGAAATATAAAAAGACATCTTCACTGCAGGACTTCTCAGGGCCTTTATGTTCATGTGTATTGTGATTCTCCTTCCATAAGGAGAATATAACATGCATAACATGTAGTGTTTCACTTCCTCCCACTCCCACTATCCCTTGCTTTTTTTGCCAGTGTGATGGTTAATTTTATGTATCCATTTGAAGAGTGTTTTTGGATGAGATTGACATTTAAGTTAGCGAACTTTGCATAAAGCAGCTTGCTCTCCATGTCTTGGTTCTCATCCAAGCAGCCTGAACAGAACAAAAAGACTGGCCTCCCAAAGCAAGAGGGAATTCTCCAATCAACAGCCTCAGAACTTCACCCGCACCATTGGCTCTCCTGGGTCTTGAACCTGCCAGTTCATATCTCAAATTTTGGACTTGCTAGCCTCCATAATCACATAAGCCAATTCCTTATAATAAGCCTTTTTGTGAGACACACACACACACACACACACACACACACACACACACACGCTCTTGAAGTGATGATGGGGTTATGTCCTGTTAAACTGATCATAAATTTAAAATAACATTAAGTCAAAACTGCATTTAATACCTTCATAAACCCATTGTAAAGTACAAAAATTGTTAAGTCAAACCATCAAAAGTCAGACATGGTCTGTGTGCATACGTTATCTTCTTTTTTTGTGAAATAACTATTAACATTTCATGAGACACTAGAGTTCCAAGAAGAATAATCCATTAGGGTAATGCTACTGTAGACCACAGGCTTATAGAAACTCTGATGTCTCACAGACAGAGAATATTGGTAGGAAGGGAATCTAAAAAATTTAAAAAAACCTGAAAAAACCTAAAGCAATTATTTATCACCACTGGTTGTCAAGTTATATGTCATATTACTGGGTTCATTCACAGGATAATTTTTATATTACTATATAATTGTTAATCCCTTCACACACACTTCAAAAAAAAGTAATTGCAACACAAGTCTAAACATGATCCGCAGAATCCTTTTTTTTTTCCATTTGGCACACCTATATTCCATTATATACATGTCACAGTTTTTCTTTAAGCATTATTGTACAGGTGTGGCAAGGGCACTGTCTATGACACAATCAAATGCTGACAGACGTTCCATTTCAGTGCCAGACATCTGGCTTATCTCCTACTGTGAGTGCTGACTGCACTCCCACCTCTCCCTGTGCTGAAAGACAACTTGCAAAGGAATTTTAACTTGTTTTCCTTACCCACTAGCAACAAATAATCTAGTCATTGGGTTAAAATATACCAGGCCAGGTGCAGTGGCTCACACCTGTAATCCCAGCACTTTGGGAGACTGAGGCAGGCAGATCATGAGGTTAGGAGTTCAAGACCAGCCTGACCAATATGGTGAAACCCCATCTCTACTATAAATCTGTAAATTAGCTGGGCATGGTGGTGCACTCCTGTAGTCCCAGCTACTCCAGCTACTCAGGAGGCTGAGGCAGGAGAATCACTTGAACCCAGGAGGCGGAAGTTGCAGTGAGCCAAGATCACATCACTGCACTCCAGCCTGGAGACTCTGTCTTAAAAAGAAAAAATACACACATACACACACACACACACACATCAGTTGGACAATACTGTGCCAATTATAAATTCTTTGCTAAAATGCATGATAAAAAACAAAAGACTCTAGGTATTTCAGCAACTCAATTATCATCACCTTGATTTCAATCTTAAACAAAAATCATAATTTTCTGCTAAAGTTGAAGGGAAACATTCTTTCTCTATTGGGATGAATTATTTCAGGCACTGACATCCTAAGAATAAAATAACTATATGATTACAAAATATTCATAATGCCCAGGAAGTCCTTCCACTGGGGAGGAAGGGTGGGTGGAATTAAACATTGACTTATCAACTATTTTTAAGTAAAAATCATTGGTTCTAGAAAAGCTCATTTTGCTACAGCAAATCCTTGTGGAGATATCTTTTCTAACAATATAACATAGTAGTATACGCTCACATAGAGCATATAGTTTCCTTCATTTACATGTAATACTAAAAAATGACTTGCTATAACACAATTTTTTTTTGAGATAGAGTTTCACTCTTGTTGCCCAGGCTGGAGTGCAATGGCATGATCTTAGCTCACTGCAACCTCCACCTCCTGGGTTCAAGCAATTCTCCTGCTGCAGCCTCCCAAGTAGCTGAGATTACAGGCAGCCGTCACCACATCCAGCTAACTTTTTGTATTTTTAGTAGAGACGGGGTTTCACCACGTTGGCTAGGCTGGTTTTGAAATCTCGAGCTCAAGCAATCTGCCCACCTTGGCCTCCAAAAGTGCTGGGATTACAGGCGTCACAATTTTAAATATATTAAAGAAAATATGCTTGTATTAATCCATTCCTGTATTGATATAAAGAAATACCTGAGACTGGGTAATTTATAATAAAAAGAGGTTTAGGTGGCTCACAATTCTGCAGGCTGTACAGGAAGGATGATGCTGGCATCTGCTCAGCTTCTCGGGAGGCCTCAGCAAACTTACAATCGTGGTAGAAGGTGAAGTGGGAGCAGACACATCACTTGGCCAGAGCAGTAGCAACAGAGCGGGTGAGGAGGTGCCACACAATTTTAAATGAGCCGATGTCACAAGAACTCACTCACTGTTGTGAGGGCAGTGCAACTGGATAGTACTAAACCATTCATGAGAAATCTGCCCCCATGATCCAATCGCCTACCACTGAGCCCTACCGCCAACATTGGGGGTTATGATTCAACATAAGGTTTGGGTGGGAACACAGATACAAACCATATCAGTGCTGAAATTTTACAAAGTATTATTTTGAATGATGGTAGCATTTTTGGCCAGGCTAGAGTAATAAAGCATTAGGCTACGTTAGCCTTCATATCATACGCCCCTGCAGAAAGGTTGGCAGCTCCAATGGATTAAACAGACCTACGGATAGATAAGGTTGGAACCCTTCAAAGATGGGCTTTGCAGTCTGGGAGGAAGGGGTTGAGATGCAATCCTTCACCAGTGATTATATGAGATCTACCCTAAAGCTGGCATCCTTTACGTGAGTGTAAGAAAAAGGCAAAAGAGAAAACGTGGCATTCAGAAGCATTATCCACACAAAGCTGAATAGAAGCAAGGGTGTTTTTCCAATTAGATAGAAAGCTTGGTCATATTTTCTCTAGGTCATTAGGCATCATATGATGCTCTTCAAATAATGCCTTTGCTGCTCCCCTTCCAGCCAGAGTGATTATTCAGCATTTCTAAAAGAGCACTGCACTATTATTGAGATATACAATCCTTTTCTTTTATTATTATGTCTAGATTTTATTAAGATGGCTATAAGATATTAAAACAGTTGCTATATATCACCATATGTAAATTTTACAACGAAGAAAATGGTCCTTGAAGAGAAGTTTAAAATATTTTTCAAGTATTTTTGAGTCTCCAGCAATGAAAGTAACTACATAATGAAAAGTGTATTATTTCAATTCAGGATATTTTATAGGAAAGTAATGGGCCTGGAAAAGTCCTTAAGGCAAATAACTTTGCTGTGATAAAAATTACAAGATTCAGAAAGAACTACATAGTGGCATTTCTCATCGAATAGCTTGTAGCTAGAAAATCAGGCAGGCATTTCCCAAAGGTTGATAAGAGCTTACTCACCTGTCGATTTCTCTTAACATTCAGTTGAAATAATGCAAGAAAAATTAGACTAGAGAGTGTCTTTCCCCAAAGCCTCTTTGCCTTAGAGCAACTCTAGGGCTTACCATTACCCATGAGGCCATCACTGAGAAGAGAAAACCACATCCCCAGCACTGGGGACCCACTGATGACTACCAGCAGGTGGGGGTGATATGGAACACACACAGACAGGATGACCCTTCCAGTAATACCTGCCATCGAAAATGAGGCCATTTTTGCAGTGCCTGAAAATAAAAGTGATAATGCAGAGAAGGATGGAAAGATAAATGATTTTTACAGAATAGTTTATGACAGCTATTATGAGCTACTTGTCATCTGTCACTGGGAAAGGAATCTTTTATAAGGGATCTATGCAGAAAGAACATCACCTAAGACAACTTAGGATCATGACTTAATTCAAACCTAGAAATGACCATTAGTCTAAGGATATGTTTCTATGCATTATTTTATTGACTTCACGTCCTTTGGGTGTGTAGGAGCTGTCTGTCATCTTTGTTTTTGTTCTTCATCTGGAGAGGCAGATACTTAGAGAAGAAATGCTCAAAACCGTCAAGTTCAATCCACTCCACACTGAGGTGGAAACCCACATTCACTGACCCCTGAGCCTATTCAAACATTTACAAGGGCTTTTTCACATTCTTTAAAATTTAAAATTACTCTTTTGACTTTTTGATAATTTTCAAAACTCTAAAAATCATCTATGAGGCAGTATAACCATATTGTTTTTTTGTCAGGTGACTATTTGCACTTGGAAACACATGTCTGCCACGAGATGAAGATGGCAATCTAATTTGATCACTGAAAACAGGAGAGATTGGATTTAGAAATTATATCCATACATAAGTTTTAAATGTGCCAAAAAATTATTATTTCAAAAATATACCTAAAACTTGAGGAATCCATAAAATGTAATATGGAAACCCCAATAGGCTATGTTGCTTACCGAGTTATTTTGCTAGCATACCCTGAAACACTGAATTTCCGCTTCCAGATGCCACGAGGTCATTGAATTAGAACCATTCTCTGTGCTACCTGTTTTCCTGAAAGCTGGTAGTGCTTAAGGATGAGGCTGTTCAGCATTCTCATACGGCGCCCCAGGAACCACAGCTGAGAAGGCAGCGAGGCTTGGCCTCACCCACCTGGGACCTAAGTCCAGGTCACCAAGCTAGAGCTGACCCTGCCTTTGACTTCTTGTGCCTACATCTGAATTCAACCTTCAACCCAGCCTTCATAAAGCGCCAGTGTTGGTTTTAAAATATATACTGGCTGCATTCTGAGCATTGGATATATGCATGAATAGACACATTGCTAAAATAGCATAATCTGACAGTATGTACATTATACCTTCTCTGCGCATCAGAGAAAAGAGAGGCCCCTTTGCACCATTCAATTAGTTCAAAGGAAGAATGCACAAAAAAAGAAATAATTGTTGTCAAAGAAAGATCCTTTCACTGTGTAGGAATCATTTTTCCCTCTAGATTTAATTTATGGCACACATAACAAATACCTAGTCACTGCTTTTTAGCACCCAAGTTGAAACCCTATAATAAACTCCTTTTGATGTCTCAGTCACCATTAAGCAACTTACTCATTTTATGTATGCTACATGTGAAAACTACAATATAAAGGTAAATGAGATGGAGCTCCTTCTCTCAAGGAGTTTATAGTCTAGAAAAGAAATCAGCTTTTTTCCTGTCTGAGTATATTCCAAAATAGGAAAATGGAATCAAGTGCTGTGTAGTGAGCCTAGACAGTGTGCTGAGGGAGGTAAAAGCAAAGGAGATCTTTCCAGAAATCAGAGGCAACCGAGGCTTGACCGAAATAGACCCTGAAGTCGGGCAGCAATTCAGGAACAAACCAAGGCTGAGTAGAGAAAGACAGCGGGGAAGTTGGAGTGAGACCCAACTTTGTTCACCAAGCAAACCCGGGGAGGTAACTTTATTCTCTACACGTTCATGAGAATAACGCTTTCTGTGGCTACCAGCCTTTGCAGCTTAGCCGCTCTCTGCAGGAGACCAGGGAAGTGAGATGAGCATCTCCACAACTTGAGTACCTTGCTCATTTGTATGGAATTGAGTTAAATGGGGCCAGTCTACCGTCTTATCACCTCGAACATGCCTGATCTAAGCTGAATTAAATTGGGCAGGCTGCAGAGAGGAACATTTGCCAGTGGGAAACTCTTGGGGAAGCAACTACATGGGGCAAGCAAGAAGTCATGAAGGCCTAGGCCAGGTGGTGGCAGTGGGACTGGAAGCAGCCAACAATGATCTCTGACAATAAACATGCTGTAATTTTATTCCGTGAAATCACAGAAAAGACAGCAATAACATCCTGACCACAACAGAGAATGCATTCCCACCAAACAGGGGGCTTTTCTTCCCCTGATTGTTTAGCAAAGGAGCCAGATCCTGAGCACAGACGGTCTGAGGAAGGCTAGTTCCCCACTTTTTGGCTTCTTTCCCTTCACTCCTCCCAAGCAGGAAGCAGGTTCCAGAACAGCCTTGCTCTTCATGGCACAAATGCCTCCATCATTCTCCACTACTGACATCTGTGGTGTGTTTGCCATAGCTTACCAAATACTGGGCAGGGACAGGGGAGATGGAATTTATAAGGAAATAGATGGCATGAGCCCTTTAATGTCCTTGGGAATACACAACCCACAGACTGAAAACAAGGGAACCCTTTCAAAGGAAAAGATAGCACTCACAGCAATAAATGCTTAAGATATACCAGGCACTTGGCAAAACAATGAACACACATCATCTCTTTTAATAGTCACAGTCATCCTTTTTGGTAGGCATTGCCACGTTTTGTCTAAATTCTAAAGATTTTCATTTTTTTTAACATGTTAACATGCCTGGAAATTGAATGTGTTTTACAACCAATATGTGTTTTAAAATAAACATGCAGGAACTGTACAGTGAGGTGTTTTATTTATGTATTTATTTATTTGTTCTCGTTTGGATTTTTTCTCTGAAAAGTTATTATTAAATAATGATCATCTTAAAGTCAGTGGTGTCTTAGGATGAAGAAAATGTAAGATATTATCCTCATCTTAAAATGAGACTGAGGCCAAGGTAGTTAAGAAGTCTTACCACTAGTAGGTTAAGAAAATCCACCCATCTGTCTCAAAGCCTCCACCCTGAGAAGCACTCTTAAATGGCATGAGAAATAATATATCCCCCTGCAAAATAAAAAAACAAAAAATTGCATGCCAGGACACTCAGTGACCGCACTATCCCCACCCAGCCACTAGCCACAGGATGTCAGTATCCATTTACTCATTTGCAAGCCTCAATTCAGCACCTATCTGGCCGGCATTGTTCTGGTGACCACATACTTTTGGTGATAAGAAAAAGCCGTCCCTTCCTGCCTAGACCTCATAGACCAATGAGAGAGACAGACATTCAACACTGATGACACACATAACCATAGAATTACAAACTACAAAGCATCACAGGCAAAACCACCAGATGCTGTGATAATATGATAATATAAACCAGAGTCCAGACCTCATCTGGGGTATCAGGGCAGCCTCGCCTGCAGATGGAGTTTTGGAGTTCCTCTAAAGGATTCCAGTAAGACTGGACAAAGGAGGGTGCTGGAGTGGAATGTGCTGAGTCAGGAGCGATTTCCAGGAGGAAGGAGACCATTCTAGGCACACGCAAAAGCCCTGAGGGGAACATGCTGTGTTTGAGAGCCAGAAAGAACGTCAAGGACGCTCGAGGGGAGAGTTCTCAGGAGAGGAAACCAGACAGGCTTGTGGCTCATGGCGAGGTTGTAGCTATTTATCCTCAGAACAGTGGGAGGCAGCTACTTTTTTACTTTAAATGTTGAATGGATGGAAATCTTACCATTGAGTGTGCAAATAATTCTTGCCTTATATAGATACAAGTTTAAAAGCAATGCAGCATCCCAAGGCAGAATGCTCTTTCAAAATAGTTGAGGCTTATGTCAACGAATTCCCTGGAATGTGGGTGATAACAAATATCTGTAAATCTTAACAGGCTGGGACTGAGCCATATGATACTCATCAGTAGGCCCTTAACCAGCATCAATTTCACATAGGGAGAGGTGTTCCCATTTGGAAGGGATTTTTGCCAGTGATGGTGAACATCAGGGCTGGATTATGACAGTTGGAAGGGGACAGCCACTTAGCGCGAATCTGTGGCTTTGCTGAGTATAGTGCCTAGCTTCCTATAAAACAGCAAACTATCAAATAACGGGTTGTTCTTCCTCTCTGAAGGACTGCAGTACAAGTGCCAGCCGCAGCGTAGGAGGTGGTGAGCAGTAACAAGACAGGCCTTCAACCTAATGACTGGAAGTGACTGAAATCATCGGAGCGAGGGGGGTGGCTCTGAGATTCCCACAGGAGCAAACATTAGGGAAATCGCCCACCAAGCCTGTTCTCCTGCCAGAATCCACTCCCTTCCTGAGGTCTGAACCACTGCTAGAGGAAATCCAAAAGAAAACAAGCCCAGAGGCCCAGGAAAAACAAATTTGCTTAGAGGTGGGGTGAGTTTAGGAGAATTGATACCCAGTTAAAGAACCTTGAATTGATTCAACCTTTTGGGAAACCAGTTTGACAATGTGTATCTGCCTTAAAATTGCCCATACATTTTCATGAGAGATACCAGGCAATGTTGGCAAAAAAAAAATGCCCATACATTTTGAACCTGTCTGGCTGGCATTTCTTCCTAGAAATATATCTTAAGGATATATTTCTTAAGAAATATAGATAGATAGAGGTTAATATAAATATGGGCCGGTGTGGTGGCTTATGCCTGTAATCCCAGCACTTTGGGAAGCTGAGCAGGCAGATCACATGAGGTAGAGAGTTCGAGACCAGCCTGACCAACATTGAGAAACCCCATCTCTATTAAAAAATACAAAATTAGCCAGGCATGGTGGCGCATGCCTGTAATCCCAGCTATTCGGGAGGCTGAGATAGAAGAATCACTTGAACCTGGAAGGCAGAGGTTACAGTGAGCCAAGATGGTGCCATTGTACTCCAGCCTGAGCAACAAGGGCGAAATTCCATCTCAAAAAAAAAATATATATATGTAAATATAATATTAAATATAAATATATCTATATAGAAATAGAGAGAGAGAAATATATCTTAAGAATATATTTCTTCTGAGCAAACTGACACAAGAACAGAAAATCAAACACCGCGTGTTCTCACTCACAGGTGGGTGTTGAACAATGAGAACACATGGACACAGGGAGCGGAGCATCACACACTGGGGTCTGTGGGGGGGAAATTGGGGAGGGACAGTGAGGGGTGGGGAGTTGGGGAGAGATAGCATGGGGAGAAATGCCTGATATAGGCGATGGGGAGGAAGGCAGCACATCACACTGCCATGTGTGTTCCTATGCAACAATCTTGCATGTTCTTCACATGTACCCCAAAACCTAAAATGCAATAATAAAAAAAAAAGAATATATTTCTAGGCCAAGCGAGGTGGCTCACACCTGTAATCCCAGCACTTTGGGAGGCCGAGATGGGCAGATCACGAGGTCAAGAGATCGAGACCATCCTGGTCAACATGGTGAAAACCCATCTCTACTAAAAATACAAAAATTAGCTGGGCATGGTGGCACGTGCCTGTGGTCCCAGCTACTCAGGAGCTGAGGCAGAAGAATCGCTTGAAACCAGAAGGCAGAGGTTGCAGTGAGCTGAGATTGCACCAGTGCACTCCAGCCTGGTGACAGGGCAAGACTCCATCTCAAAAAAAAAAAAAAAAAAAAATATATATATATATATGTATACATATATACATACACACACACACACACACACACACACACACACATATATATATATATTTCTAGCATTTCTTCCTAGAATTTCCGTTTTAACAAAAAACAGTCCCCAAATCATTTCTTTTCTAACAAAAAGTAACCTGAAAAATCAAGCTGTTAACACAGATAAGCAAGCCAGAAGCTTGCACGGGTGAATGCTGGCTGCTGTGGCAGTAGAATAGGGCTACCTGGGGTCCAGGTATATTCAACACGGAGGCTCCATCTTCCTTTTTCTTTGTCACCACGTGTACAGTAAAGAAACAAGCAGCCACAAATGGTGGCTAACGCCTGTAATCCCAGAACTTTGGGAGGCTGAGGCAAGTGGATCACCTGAGGTCAGGAGTTCAAGACCAGCCTGGCCAACAAGACAAAACCCCATCTCTACTAAAAATACAAAAATTAGTCAGGTATGTCTGTAATCCCAGCTACTAAGGAGGCTGAGGCAGGAAAATCGCTTGAACCTGGAGGTGGGGGTTGCAGTGAGCCACTGCACTCCAGCCTGGGCAACAGAGTGAGACTCCATCTCAAAAAAAAAACATGGCTCTGGCCAGGTGGAGAATCTATCTGCATAATAAAAGATTAGGGTGAGGGTGGCCAGGTTTTCATACCCTATGTAAATGACATACCTAGCTCTAACCAGTTTTCACACCCTGTGCAAATGGTACACCTGGTCCAACCAATCTTTTGTGCCCTATATAAATCAGACACCATCTCCTCAAGCTCATCTATAAAACCCTCTGCATTTCACTGCAGAAGCAGCAACCCATTTCCCTGGGACCCTTCTCTGCCGCAAAGAGCTCTTCTCTTTCACCTATCAGACTTCTGCTCTGAACTTCACTCTTTGGGTCTGCATCCTAGTTTTCTATGGCCATGAGATAACAAATTTCAGGTACTTACCCCAGACAACAATGCCGCTTCACAGGCACGCTCCAATCTGCCCTGCACCTTTGCACCAATAGCTTCCACTGCTGGCAGCTACATCCATCTAGGGCATTTTTCCCCCGCTGTGCCTCCTCCAGAAGTAGCAAACATTCATTTGCATAATATGCTGAACACAACCACCTTATCAACTTGTTTAATTCTCACAACTTTATGACTTAGTACCATTGTTATTCTCATTTTTCACTCGGGGGAATAAGGTGTAGAGAGGTTAGGTGACTTACTCAAGGTCACACAGCTGGTAAGAGGTGGAGCTGGACTCAAACCCAGGCAGTGTGACTCTAAAGTCCACACTATGATATCCTCTGCTGCTTCCTATCCTTATCTCATTTCCCTCTTTATGACCTCGCCTCTCCCCCGCCTCAATGGAGAGAAGTGAGGCTATCTTGGGTCCGGACTCTGACTCCATCTCAAAAAAAAAAAAAATGCCCAGTGCAGTGACTCACACCTGTAATGTAGACCCAGCTACTCAGGAAGCTGAGACAGGAGAATTGCTTCAACCTGGGAGGCAGAGGTTGCAGTGAGCTGAGATCACATCAGCCTGGGCGACAGAGAGAGACTCCGTCTCAATACATACATATATGCCATTCTTTCCAGCCAGAGTCCTTGTCTCCTTTTAATTATTGAAACATTCACAGATGTGAAATGCCACCAGATTTGATACTTGACTATTGCTAATTTCAACTTTATTTAGCTCAGAAAAAAAGCCACTATACAACAGACATCATAAGCCCATTACATGGCAAGATCGTTTCAGTTGCTATAATCTCATACAATCTGCAGTTGCTCTAAAGCTTGTTACTCCATAAAGGCAGCTTTTTCTTTTTTAATTTGTGCACTGCTTAGCAGTGAATGGTAGTTATACTATCATGGTGGTGAATACTGCTTGCTAGAAAGTGTGTCAGAGTTTCTTGGGTACAATGATTCATGGCTCACCCAGGGGGCAATAAAGATGAGGTGAGCCACACAGTAAGCCCTTCCTGGGCTCATGGTACGTGCATAACTACATTATACCCTGTGATCTACTGCACTATACAAGGATTTTTTTTTTTCTGAGGTGTTGTTTCATTCTTGTCACCCAGGCTGAGTACAATGGTGTGATCTTGGCTCACTGCAACCTCCGCTTCCTGGGTTCAAGCAATTCTGCCTCAGCCACCTGAGTAGCTGGGATTACAGATGCCCACCACTACACCCAGATAATTTTTGTATATTTAGTAGAGACATGGTTTCACCATGTTGGCAAGGCTGGTGTCAAACACCTGACCTCAGGTGATCCACCTGCCTTGGCCTCCCAAAGTGCTGGGATTGCAGGTATGAGCCACTGTGCCCGCCATACAAGGATATTCTTTTGGCAGTCATGAGTACAAGATCAATTCTGTTGTGTAGGGCTGAATGTTGTGAAATGTGCATAAGAAAAAGATTGCAATTACCTGTATTTATCATGTCAGTCATTCTAATCATCAGACAATGATATGAACACAGTGAGAAAGACATCCCTCACACTCTCTTCTTCCTGAAATAGAGAAACTATAAGAATTCCATCAGCTCATCGGCCACTCCATGTGGAAATGGCCCATTTCTGATGACATCGTGGGAGTTTTGCTTTTTGGTTTTCGTGTTTATTTTGGTTTGGGTTTTTGCTTCAAGGGAGATCAACAGGTAAAATCTGGCCTCCCCATCCTTGTTGAATATCACTCCGGGCATCCCCTTCCTGTAAGACTTTCTTTCCCTACCCCTGTTCTCTCAGCTAGGCATTGCTCTGTCTTCTCACACCTGACCCCCTCCTCACTTCCTATCCATCCCCTACCCAGAAATTCCAGCTGCCCCAGTGTCTCCTAACATTTCCCAGAAAATTAAGTCGCCTGTGTTCTATGGCCTGAATGTTTATGTCCCCCCAGAATTCATATGTTGAAACCTAATCCCCAAGTTGATGGCATTAGAAAGTGAGGTCTTTGGGAGATGATGCCATCATGAGGGCTCCACCTTCAGGAATGAGATTGGGGCCCTTATGAAGAAAAGTCTTGGCCGGGCATGGTGACTCACACCTGTAATCCCAGCACTTTGGGAGGCCAAGGCAGGCAGACCACCTGAGGTCAGGAGTTCAAGACCAGCCTGACCAACAGGTAAAACCCCATCTCTACTAAAAATACAAAATTAGCTGGGTGTGGTGGTGCATACCTGTAATCACAGCTACTTGGGAGGCTGAGGCAGGAGAACCACTTGAACCCGGGAGGCAGAGGTGGCAGTGAGCTGAGATCATGCCATTGCCCTCCAGCCTGGGCTACAAAAGTGAAATTCTGTCTTAAAAAATAAGGCCTGAGGGAAGCTGTTCACCTCTCCTGCCATGTGGACGCTGCAAGAAGGCACCATCTTTGAGGAAGAGAAAAAACCCTCACCAAACACCAAATCTATGGGCACTTTGATCTTGAACTTCCTAGCCTCCAGAAAGATGGGAAATAAATTTCTGTTGTGTCAAAGCACTCAGTTTATGTATCTTGTTAGAGCAGCCCACAGGGACTGAGATAATAAGCTAGTGGGAGAAAGGCACACGACACCCACATCCTCTCTCTTCCCATCAAGTCACCCTAGCAGGGTGCCCATTCGAACAGAGTTTTTTCAAAGACAAAGCCCTCAATCATTTTGCTCAAATAAAAGGGGTGGTCCTTTCATGAATTTTAGGTCCTATTATCCAGGGCTACTCAAAGTAAGCTGGGCACAATGGAAAGGGTGATATTTATGAATAGGAATTTTTATTGCAGTCTCCACTAAAATCACCCATTAAAGGCACCTCCCTATTTGCTCCCAAAGGCCCAGAACTTTCACAGCAATCATTCTCAGGAATTAGGATTCCACAGCAATCTAAATAAAGTGGAATTTCAATTCAGAATAATCAGTTTATTTTGCCAAGTAAGAGCACCTAAAAACAAACAAACAAACAAAAAAAAAAAAACTACAAGTTCTTATCACCATTATTTCATTTATTTATTTACTTATTTTTGAGACAGAGTTTCACTCTGTTGCCCAGGCTGGAGTGCAGTGGCACAATCTCAGCTTACTGCAACCTCTACCTCCTGGGTTCAAGTGATTCTCCTGCCTTGGCCTCCTGAGTAGCTGGGATTACAGGTACGCACCACCATGCCCAGCTAATTTTTGTATTTTTAATAGAGACCATCACCATATTGGTCAGGCTGGTCTCGAATTCCTTACCTCATGATCCACCTGCCTTGGCCTCCCAATGCTGGGATTACAGGCGTGAGCCACCTCGCCCGACCAATTTTATGTCCTTATTTTCCTCACATCAAAGACTGGTAAGTCCTTGGTCCTAAGCTAGCACTAGACCATGGACCAAAATTTGGGAACCATTGCTCTGGATATCAGGATGGTCAGCTAAAGCTGGGAGCAGCCACCGACATTTTGCAGGTAATAGTCAACATAAAATTCACCTTGGGTGCATTTCCTCATTCTGTCATTCCAAACAGTTAGGAAGAGTTCAGACAGTGGAGACAAATACCCCTGCATCCAAGGTTCAGCTCCCCCACCCGACAAGGGGTGACCCAAGTAGCTGAACCTCTCTAAGCTGCCATTGCCATGTCTGCAAAATGGAGAGAGAGCAAAAATTCACCAAGTTGTTAGGATTAAATGTGGATTAGCAAAGGGTCTTTGCTTCAACAAATTTATAACTATTAATATAACTGTTACTAGACCAGGAGTGTCTATGAAAACGCCAGACATTTTCTAAGACCCCTGACTACAGGGTCTAGAGTCTCTGTTTTGCCTTCAAGGAGATAATGCTCTGAAAGGGACCCACAAAAGGGTGGCCAGATACAGGGAAGCCAGAGTTAGGATAGAGGCAGATACTGGAGGCCAGGGAGATTATAGAGCAGTGGTCCCCAACCTTTTTGGCACCAGGATCCGATTTCATGGAAGACAATTTTCCATGGATGGAGTAGGGGAGGCGGGTTTCAGAATAAAACTATTCCACCTCGGATCATCAGGCATTAGTTAGATTCTCATAAGAAGCATGCAGCCTGCATCTCTCACATGCGCGGTTCACAATAGGGTTTGCACTCCGATGAGAATCTAATGCCACTGCTGATCTGACATGAGGCGCAGCTCAGGCGGTAATGCTCACTTGCCTGCTACTCACCTCCTGCTGGGCAGGCCAGTTCTTAACTGGCCACAGACCAGTACAGGTCCACAGTCCTGGGGACCTGTTATAGAGAGTTAGGAAAAGAAAATAGAAAAAGAGAGGACTCTCAGAGGAGGTGGAGTCTAAGTAAAATCTTACAGGACATAACACTAAAACGAAACAAAATTTTCAATTAGGCTTTCAGTTAAGAATCAGACCAAGCATCCTGCCATGCCTAAAATGTGCTGATTAAAGTCTGGCACACTAAACTTCCTTCTGTTATCCTGGGTCACCACATTAACTGCTTGAAGAAATGGCTTTCCTCAAAGCAGTAATTTTCCTTTGCCTCCCTGGCTCTATTCTACATGAGTTGCCCTAAGGAAATTCTTCTCTGTCACTTCTGACCTGAAGAAGATGACGCTGGGCGTGGTAGCTCATGCCTATAATCCCAGCACCTTGGGAAGCTGAAGCAGACAGCTCACTTGAGGTCAGGAGTTTGAGACCAGTCTGCCCAACATGGTGAAATCCCGTCTCTTCTAAAAATACAAAAGTTAGCCAGGCGTGGTGGCACACGCCTGCAGTCCCAGCTACTCAGGAGGCAGAGGCAGGAGAATCGCTTGAACTTGGGAAGCGGAGGTTGCAGTGAGCCAAGATGGTGCCACTGCACTCCAGCCTGGGTGACAGAGAGAGACTCTGTCTCAAAAAAAAAAGACAAGCTTTCAGTGAAAAAGGAGAGAGAAGTTGCAGCTGATATTTTTCAAGAAATCCTGGGCATAGAGTATTTGAATGACTGAATCCCGAGTGCTGCCTTGCTCCTGCCACTCACAGTGTGGTCCTCTAAGCTGCAATATTGGCGTCACCTGGGAATTTGCTAGAAATGCAGAATTTTGGGCCCTGACCAACAGTGGCTGAATCAGTCTGAATTTAAACAAGATCTTCAGAGGACTGGGAAAACCGTTAGGGTTTGGGAAGCACTGCCCTAGCCTGATTTTGGGTGAAAAAAGTCAACAATTCGACTGGATATGACCAGCGTCAGAGCCTTTGTGCTGACGTGAAATTACTTTTCCTTCATTTGATCCCATTCATTGCTCCTCTATATGTCTTAAAGGATAGTAGTGATGGAACAGAGAGAACAGCTCTGCCCTAGAGGCCTCTGACTTAAAATTACCCTATATTATGTACAAAAGAACAATGGAGTTTAGAAACATTTACTTGGCTCTAGGCCCATGATACTTAGTTATATGTCCAAACAACCTGTAATTTCTGGAGCTTTTTGTTTGTTTTATTCTTCTTGTTCTTGGTATTATTATTACTTTTTACAGAGGAGAAAACTGGAACTCGGAACATTAGGGGACTCGCTGGGTTCACACACAATCAGTCCAGGGCTCCTTCCTCAAGCCGAGCAGCCCACCATTCTCCACGGCTGAGAAGATGGTCCCACCTGCACCACTCAGATAGCCCGTGGCCCAGCACCAACCAACCGCAGAACCTGTGGCTCTGATTTCCAGACCCTTCTTTTCCATTCCCGTTACCAGCACCCTCGTTCAGTCCACAGTTCCTAAACTGCCAGACAGGCCTACTCCTTGCTGCTTCCAATTCTTTGCCCTTTAAATCCATTTCACACACAGCCGCCCAAGCCTAGCTTCGGATCCCCTCAGGAACTAGTTCAGAGATACCAGAAGTCATCCACAGGGTCCCATCCCACAGACAAGGACTATGGGACTCATCCTTGTATTCCTGACAAGGCTACTGGATGCCTTACAAAGTAGATAGGTTGAATACAAGGGGGTCCTAATGAACAGATGAGAAAAGCTACTACTGTCTCTGGGCAAGAGACAGAGGAAGCCAAAGAGGCAGGACTGCATAAGTGGAACAGAGGGCTCAAGCAGACTCGCTGGCCTAAGATAGGAGGAACCAGACCAGGGCTCCCACTTCTTCCCATAGCTGTGAAGCTCCAAGGGTGAAAAAATGAATGCTGAACGGCACCAGGAGGGAAGATAGTCATCCTGGCTCAGCACAGACAGAAGGGAGGCACTGACATTTGTGGAATCATGTAGGCATTGTGCAAGGGACTTCACATGTGGCATCTCTGATTTCCCAAGAACAGGACATTCTGAGGTCAGGATTAGGACTCACTTTTCACACGTTCAGGCTGACAGTAGGTTAAGGATAATCACCAAGGTCTTGCAGCTAGTCATTGGTAGAGTCAGTTTCCACCCCGGTGTGTCTGATTCAGACATTCTCTTTCCACTCTGCTGTGGCCCTAGACACCTGCAAGGAGACACCACAAAGTGAACTACCTCATCCTCTATTTGTTTCTATAGATGACTTACACATGTTTATGATATTCTCCTGAATGTGGCATTGTGTGCAAACACTTAAGACATGGACATCAGAGGAAGACCATACCCCAAACCTCTAGTTCCTTCCCACCACCTTCAGGGGTAACATGGTATAGTGAGTGGGATGGTAATCCACTATGGGTCACTATGGGATCCATAAATATATGTCCCCAAAATATGGTGACCTCAAAACATATATTCAAATCCTAAGCATCAAAACTTGTGAATGTCATCTTATTTGGAAAATGGCGTTTGCAGACATAATTAATGATCTCAAAATGAGATCATCCTGGATTTAGAGTGGGCCCTAAATCTAATCACAGTGTCCTCATCAGAGAAACCCAGAGACAGATTTAACACAGAGAGATACAGGGGAGAAACCATATATAGACAGTAGCAGAGATGGGATTTACACTGCCACAAGCCAGGGAATGCCTACAACCACCAGATGCTGGAAGAAGCAAAGAAAGATTCTCTTCTGGAGCCTTCAGAGGGGGCACAGCCCTGCTGTTTCCTTGATTCTAGACTTCAAGCCTCCAGATGACGAGAGACTGAAATCTTGTTGTTTTAAGCCACCCAGGTTTTGGTAACTTCTTGTGGATGCCCTAGGAAATGAACGACGCTGAAATTAAGAATCTCAACAGGCGTGGTGGCTCACACTTATAACCCCAGCATTTTGGGAGGCAGAGGTGGGTGGATCATTTGGGCTCAGGAGTTTGAAACCAGCCTGTGCAACAAGGAGAAACCTCATCTCTACCAAAAATACAAACATTAGCCAGGAGTTGTGGCATGCACTTGTGGTCCCAACTATTTGGGAGACTAAGGTGAGATGGTCACTTAAGCCCAATAGATGGAGGTTTAAGATGGAGGTTTAAGCGGAGACTGCGCCACTGCACTTCAGCCCGGGTGACAGAGGGAGACTCTGTTTCAAAAACAAACAAACAAAAAGGAATCTTTTGTTTTATAACTATCATCTAGAAAACTGTATTGGCACCAAGGACCAATAAACCTGTGCTCTCAATCCATTTGGCTTTGGATTGGGGAACCCAGATTTGAAAATCTATGTTTAGGGTATTGAGACATTTTAAGAACACACAGTCAGAAACTAATATACATAAAGTAGGGCGGTTCATTTGCTACCTTCTTTTCCTCAAAAAAAGGAAAATTCCTTTTCATGCAAATATTTTGCAGTGAATAGATAACACTGTTTAGGAATGAGGATTATCTGTGCTGTTCCTATCGTAGCCTAATTAGCTTTTCTTTAATGTGCATTAAGCATACAAGAGATGAAATGAGAAAGAACAAGCACGAAAAGCTTCGGTTTCACCCACAAATCTGTTTTGTAGCCTGCAATCTGGCAGAAAAGCCTACAAATCTCCCATTACATTTTTTTGGTGTAAACAATTCTTATTTTCAGTCTTCTTTTCCTCTCTCTCTCTCATGCCAATAAGAAATTTTTAAAGCAATCACGAGCTAAAACCAAAGATAAGCGGTAAGGCAGGCTTCTCCTAAACACTCTCCATTATCCCCTCTCTGGCCTCATTTTGAATCATTCTCTCTGAAAATTTGGCAGGAATCTATCACCCTGCAAATGGAGGTGAAGCAAGTGAGGCTCCTTCCCCAGTAATCCTCTCTGGAGCACTGCTGCTGTTTACCTGGGAGCGGAGGTAAAAAGCCAGGGCTCCACAACAGGTAGTAGGAAGGGAAATGTGTATCTCCAGGGTAGCCCTGGGCATGAAGCTGGCAGCCTCTAAAGTTAGAGACCCTGGGTGTGAATTCTGGCTGTGTCACTTGGTGTGGGCCCAGGCAAGTTGCTGGGTTTTTCTTTTCTTAATTGACAAGTAAAAATTGTATATATTTATGATGTACAATGTTGATACATGCATACATTGTGGAATGCTAAATCACACTATTTAACATATGTATTACCAGGCTGAACACGGTGGCTCATGCCTGTAATCTCAGCACTTTGGGAGGCCAAGGCGGGCAGATCACTTGAAGCCAGGAGTTTAAGATCAGCCTGGACAACATGGTGAAACCCTGTTTCTATTAAAAATACAAAAATGAGCCAGGAATGATGGTGCAAGCCTTTGGTCCCAGCTACTTGTGAGGCTGAGGCAG